GCCTGAGCTACATAAGACACTGTCTCAAAAATAAGTATTTGTAGCTATTGCATTCTCCATGTCTTATGAGTGGCCACACATGATAGTTTCTGGTACTTCCCATCTACTCCACTATCATCCATTCTGTACTTCCTTTGCCTCAGCAAGAACCTCAGCTTCCAAGGTCCAGAACTTGGCTGGGACCTAAAGCTCCATCCTTGGGCTTAATTCAGGAATCTGCCTGAGCCCAAGTGCTGTCATTTTCCAATGACTCTAATCACAGGGCATGGGAACATGGAGTCACCCTAAAGACCTGTGTTCTACACATTCTTTTCACCCCCACTGTGGGGAAAGTGTTCGGAACCCAGCCTCCAGCAGCAACTCTTTGTCTCCGCCCTCTTCGCCTGTGGTTGTAGAGGTGTATGGACCCATAGTAGCAGGGAGACAGCTTCACTGCCAGTTCAGCGGGATCACACTGGATCACCACTGTGCTGTTTCACTGATGGGAGTGTCCCTTCTGTGTACACTTAGCAGGTATGCTGTGTGAGAGGGAGCCTGTTGTCAGTGCGGACCTTGTCTGGTGCACTGGCACCTAGAAGGTACTCAGGGAACACTGTCAACCTGCTTCGGATGTAGCTGTCATTCTGGGCTCCCATCTCGGTAGAAGTCCTCACTGGTCATTCCAGACCCTTAGCCTGAGGGCCAGGCCTGTCCCAAGAGCCCTGGGTTCAAATCTTCCCTTTAGGTGACATGGGCAACCAAGTGAGTATAGGCCTCAAGTCAAGCATTCTAGTCTGTCTAGGATTATTTACTGGACTCTTCTGGGACAACAAGCCTGTTTCCAGCCTCCTGGTGCCTGCCATTCTCTGCCTTAGGCTTCTGTTTCAAGACCTACTTACATTCCAAGCCTATACTCAACAGACACCTCCAGCCGCCTTGTGCCCCACAAGCCCTGGGGGGGGGGGGGAGTAGAGGATGCACAGGGTTTCTTGGTGACCAGGGTTCCCTGTGGCCAGGACTCCACACAGGCATCCAGGGGAGGGAGGCCTCCACTCTTCAGCTAGTGTTTGTTATTCCATGTCGCAGCCTTATCATAAACATTATCCTAGTGTGGGCCACTGAGGCTCCTTGCAAGGGCGGTTTGTTGTTCTAAGGTGGCCTGGAGTAGAATGCCCAGAGGCCTGGGGGATTCTGGGAGCTGGAGAGGGAAGCAGAAGTCAGGGCGGGACTTCATTCTAAAGCGTGTGCCTCTGTCACCCTGGCGTGAAGGTCAGTGGCACGTCTGCCTCCTCCATGAGTTCCATGTGCTTAGAAACCAAGTCATATTTCTGCATCAAATTCAAGCCCCTGCTGAGAAGCTGTGGAAAGCCTTTGTTTGGTGAAGGAAGGAAGGGAAGGGGGGAGGGGAAAGGGGGGCAGGGCTGTAGCTTCCCCCTGCTTGTTGGAAGCACCAAAAATGCTCACAAAAGAGGACACGGAGCCTAAAGGCCTGCTTGTAGTAAGCCAGTGCTCTGGAATTCTACTTCCACTCTACTTGTTTTGAGCAGTGCAGCCTACCACTCCCTCTGCTTCTGCTGTGTCCCATCTGTGGGTCCCTGCTGTCTCTCTCCTCAGCAGAGCAGAGGGAAGCCCCTGTGAGCGGTTGACTGGCTAAGGAAGTGTGCCAAATGTCCATCTCACATCTCGCTAGCCTTCTCACCTTGGGAAGGCATTTTATGTCTCTTTGCTGTGGGTTTTACATCTTAATTTTACCTGGGAGCTGCTGTAAAGATTAAATAATGAGTCCACTTAGGAAGTTTATGGTGCATAGTAAGTGCTCAATAAAACCAGGGGTCCTAGTATGAATGGGGTGATGACTCCTTTATGAGTTACAAAGAGTAGGTATGGAGCAAGAAGTGGTGGTGGTCGTGGGGCACATGATTCAGGGTCAGCACCTTCCTTTTGCAGGGTTTCCTAAGTGTCTGATGTTCGTGACATTGGGGTTCAGCAGCAAACAAAAAGACAGAGTGCTGAATCAATTCCAGGACATGTACGCGCCTCCAAAGTGGTCTGTGCACAGGGAGTCTGTGGGAGGTACCAGATCCCACCAGGATACAGTTAATGTCACAAACCAGCTGAGACATGCAGGGAGCTCAAACTCTCAAATGGCCTTGTAGGCCTTGGCTTCCTGTCTGCAGCGCTCCAACAGCAAACACTCCTGGCTGCTTTACAGTAATCCAGAGAAACAACGGGCGCGGCTGTGCCAGTAGACTTCAGAAGGTCCTGCATCATCAGCCTTGTGACCTAAGGCTAGGAGTCAGGACCCTTGGGTGGAGCCCCTTCTGCCCAGCTCCCTGTATGGACTCATGCACACCCCATCCTACCTGCCTGGGATGCTGTCCCCTCTCTTATTTTGCATTAAGAACGCACAAAATGAAATCGGGGCCCTTGACTGGGCTCCAGGGTCCCTGTGGAAATCCCTGGAGCAAGAGGGCGTCCCACTCAGCCTCCCTCATATCAACCAGGACCTTAACTATTTTCATCTGTTCCATGTTCAAGACTCCAAGTAAGATTCCTTTAGAAGTCAGCAACAGCAACCATAACAAGGACAAAAGAGTTCTACAGCTAAAAGTACTTTGAAACTTCTGCACCAGAAGAATTCTAGGGAGCATCTCTCTCCCAACATCAAGCTGGGAAGATTGGGCGCTATTTCCTCCTAAGTTTTTTTTTTTTTTTTTTTTTTTTTTTTTTTTTTGGTTTTTCGAGACAGGGTTTCTCTTGTGTAGCTTTGCGCCTCTCCTGGAACTCACTTGGTAGACCAGGCTGGCCTCGAACTCACAGAGATCCGCCTGCCTCTGCCTCCCGAGTGCTGGGATTAAAGGCGTGCGCCACCACCGCCCGGCCTATCCTCCTAAGTTTTATGTAACAAACACGTGCTCAGCACTCATTTCATGCCAGGACTGTGCTTAACACCCTGCAGCTGGGAATATACTTAATCCCCTGGAATACCTCCTGACTTCATGAAGGCCACATCATTGCAGACCTGACTTCATGAGTCAAGCAGGGTCCAGCGGAGACATTTACCCTCTAGCCAGGTCTTCTGGTGCCCAGGCAGATGACCTCACACCAGGTCAGGTGGTATCTTGGCCAGACTGATCTAAGAAGCAACAGAGCAGGTGTGTGCAGCAGCTGGGTGTGGCCACAGGAAGTCCCTCTGTCTTGGGCCCTCAGAGGAGGAGAGTGGAGCAGCTCGACACGGACACTTACATCGGAGGCATGCACCCTGTAGGAGGAAGTGCTTGTTGCCTTAGCAATGTCCACAGCAGAAAACGTCACTGCCTCCTGTAATTCATCCCCAGCCACCACACTGCCATCGACACTCTACACCAGATGGCTGCAGATCTGATTTCAGTGGTGGCAGCCAAAGCCCAGGGGCCTGGAGAAGGCTCAGGCGTGGGGCGAGGGGTCTGACCTCACCTCCAAGCCTCTCATTAAAGGGAACAGTGGGGGCTGCTACAGTTTATGCAATCCAATTCTCCTGCCGTTAACAAACACGGAGGGAACAGAAGCATGGCCTTATTGCCTGTTGACCTGGCCCTCTACACCTATTTCAAAAGCTTTTTATTCAGATTATATGTCTTGGTAGGAATGTCTGCTGCCAGCCTTCTAGATATTTTTCTTAAGTGCTTATAAAACACCTTTAACTATAAAGGAAACAGCAGGTCCCCAGGTCCTAAAGAGAAACAGATCACACTGCCCTCTCTTCCCCATGCACAGTGCTGAGAGCTGCAGATTAAAGACCCAGGAAGACAGACTTCCTGACTTCAGGAAACTCGGCCTATTTATGTAAGGCTGGCAGCTAAACACAGTGAAAGCTAGTATGCACACATTGGTGGAACGAGGCGTGGTCTGCCAGTCATCTGTCATCTGAGACGATGCTGTGTAACAACAGCATGCAGTGCTCAAGTAGCCAGGTAGACCAGTTGCTGGTAGGCTCCACTCATCTTGCTAGTGTCCCATGTCTAGAAGTTGGCTGTCTGTCCACTAGTCTGAGTGTCACTGGCTCTGTGTGTCTCTCTCGCCCTCCATCAGAGTAGAGTCAAAGGCAAAGACCATGTGAAGAGGTAACAACCACAGTACCCAGGTGCATTTCAGGTCTTCCTGTGTAATGCTTACTGCCGTTTCCCATTGGCTGAAGCAGGTCTAGCATCGGAATGGGTGCGGTCAACAAAGTCCCTTGGTTAGCCAGAAGAGTCTGGGATACCAGACCTTGTGATTCAGACTCCAGCTCAAGCTATGTGGGTAAAGTGCCATCCATGCCCTGGGCCTCAGTTTCCCAGTCTAAACTTGAAGTTGCTGGCCAGGTGTGGGAGTCTGTGCCTATAAAGCCAACACTTGGGAGGTAAGACAGGAGGACTGTGAGTTCAGGGCAGCTGAGGCTACATAATGAGAACCTGTCTCAAGTAAACAAAATAAAATGGGAAGGCTGAAGTGGGTAGTCTCCCGGGTCCTGTGTCTAAGACCCCTGTGCTCATGGGAGCCATGAACTTCAAATGCCATAAGCTGCTTAGAAAGTGCCTGGGAATCATTCTGATTCCAGGGCCGAGGGAGTCTTCTGTACAGTAGTCCAAATGACCCTGATGCCTGGAAACTGCATCCCTGGAGCCAGTAGCCCAGAGAATTTAGGAGGAGGGTGCACCTACTGAACGCATGGGAAGGTGGGGCTCCAAGGATCCAGCTCCTGAAGCCTCTGGGCCTGGACACAGAACTGAGCTTTGTTTTATATTGTTCATTGCCTTGACTGCATTTGGGGGTGCTCTTGATTATAGAATGGGTTTGCTTGTTTTAGAACACTGGTAAGCAAAGCAGGACAAAGGAGCCAAGAGGAAGACTCACCCCAAACTCCAAACTCAGATGGTTTGCTGTGTCATGCACCTTCTGTTTCATGCCTGTAGCCCCAAAGTCCGGAGGGTGGAGGGCCACTCCCAGAGGCCAAGCAGTCCTTGAGCACATCCCTGATGCCCTTCTCTTTCCTTGGCCAGGTGCTGTTTGCCCTGAACCAGACTCTGCTGCAGCATGAAAGTGTGCGGGCTGGGAGCCTGCAGGCACCCTACACCACAGAGGACCTCATCAAACACTACAACTGTGGGGACCTCAATGCAGTCATCTTCAACCATGACACATCCCAGGTGAGGCCCTCCTCTCTTCCTGCCCTGATGGCCACTGCATCACCAGCCACAAAGACCTGGAGCTAGACCCACACGATCCCATCTGGATTTATCAGATGTCTGCTATAGTGGGTATAGACCAGCTTTCCCTCCAGCTATGATAAGCTATAGAAGCTACTGTCATCTCCTCTGTAGAGGGGGAAACTACGGTTCACAGAAGACAACGGACTTGCTTGCTCAAGGCTGTGCAGCTTACAGCTGTTAAAACATCAAGAACAGCAACTTGAAGCAGAAGGCCCACGGAAGGGATAACCTAGTTACTGTGAGCTTGGCCTTGCGTCTGTCTCAGGACCTTCCGCTTTGATACAAATCCTAGAGCAAAGACTACAGACAGGCTAGCAAGACCCTGAGTAAGGCCCCAAAGGGTTGAGTCTGGCTTGACTTGCCCAGACTTTACCATGCCTCCTCATTGATCTCCAACAAATTCCTAGACGCTCCACCCAGCACTCAGTGATCCTCTAAGACCTGCCCTCTGGTGGCCTTGTCACAGCCCATGCTCCCCACCCACCCCAGGCCTGTGGAATTTACAGCTTATCCCTTAGTACTTCTGAGCTCTTCCAGGCACTTCCTCCCCTGGCTTCCTACAAATTGATCATGGTTCAATGTTGCCTGCTTTGAGAAACTTCCCCAGTCCCCTGGATGGAATCAGGTATCTCCCCAAGCACCACATACTTGTCCCCAGGGTTTCCTCTGCCATGGTATTTGGATGTTTATCCATTCAGAAAACTTGGATAAGGCAAAGGAGGCCATATCCCTGTTCTGGAGCCTGCCTGTAGTCCCCATTTTCTCAGGGTAGGAGCCAGTCTCTGCAGCAGACTGTGTGTTCCTCCTCTTCTGCCCCTGCTCTGGACCTCATCTCCTAGATACACCCCAGCAGCCATCTACCATGCCATCTCAAGAACCCATCCACATGCTTCTGCCTTTTCACTGGCCAGTCCCTCAGCATAGATGCTTCTCCCAGGTGTTACCATAATGTGCTCCCTCTCCATCTTCAGACATCACCAGCCCCATAAGACTAGCCCATCCACCCTGTCTGAACTGTAGCCTGAACCCCATCCCTCCCTCCCCCAAAAAATAAACCAACTATCATTACTTTACTATGCCCCACTTTCCTCCCCTGGTCTGGAAGGCCCTCTAACACACCATACACTCAGTCCTTTCTCTAGTCCTTCCCGCTGGAACTCAAGCTCCATGAGGGCAGGATTTGGATCTGCTGTTAATTCAGTTATCCCCTTTCTTGAGAGAAGTCCCAGCCTGAAGTAGGACTCTGTAAATATTTGCCAAATAAATGAAATCGTGTGTAAATGTGGTAGCACAGTGCACACAAGGATATGGTGGGGCGCCAGGGAGGACAGCTCTCACGAGAGATACCCTCTCTCAAGGAGCCTGGGAGACCTGGGAAATCTCTGCCTCATATGGGAACCCTTCCTCTGGGGACAGAAGAGCCACAGCTACAGCCCATGGCAGGCATCTCTCATTTAGATGTGGCTGCAGCTGGGGCTGGGGCCATAAGGAAAGATGCCACAGAAGTAAAGTAAAAGGCCCCAGAAGAACCTACATTAGCCACAGACAGAGGAGGAATGTTCCAGCATTGAGCACAGCGTGCAAGTGAACCAAAGACCCAGAGGAGGAGGAGTGGGGAGAATTCTGGTTGGCGGCCAGCCAGGCTGGGGCCACAATGTTCTGTCTGTGCTTGCCACCCAACCCCCAGACACAGGCTCCCTGAGGGCAGGGATGAGCTGCTCATCCCTTGGTCCCCACTGCTCTGGAGAGACCCCTTGGCGCCTGGTGCAGAGTGCTTGCCAGTGAGTGACTGTCACGCATAACACTGGAGGTACATCATGTACTTAGGGAAGCTTAGAGAATGGAAGAAGGAACCCAGCCCTTACTGTGGGAGGCTCCAGGTCTCAGGGCTCTAGTCTCATGGTGGAAGAGGGAGGAGAGGAAGGAGCCTGATACCATGAGCTGATGGGACTCTCACCAGAGCCCCACTTCTGGTGAGCCTCACTCTGAATCTACTAATGGCCAGGTTTGGTTGTGGGGGACGGGGGGGGGGGGGGGCGGGGCCGTAGATTCCACAACAAAGAGGTCTTACTTGTAAGTTGGACAACTGGCTGTGAAGTTTCTGGCCTGAGGAAGAAGGGGTGGACAGGACAAAGCCTGTGGCTGACTCTAAGCTGGGCGAGAGAGGCATGGGGTAAGCTTGAGGGAATGGTCAGTTCATATTTCCTTTGAGCCTCTCTGCCCAGAAGCACTGCTGATCTCTGATGACAGCAGCCATGTCCCCCAGCAGAGCAAATGGTCCAGTCCACCCAGATTTGAATCATAGTCCAGGCTGCATATGAGGTACACAGGAAACCTGCCCCAAGGTGCAAAAAGGCCAAGGTCACAAAGCTGAACCCTGCCTGCCCTTGCACATATTGCTATGTGGGGCCACATCTGCAGTCAGAAGCCTCTCGATCTCAAGGTCTGGGGAATGTAGAGATTTAGGGCTCGTCACCCTGATGCAGTCAGGAAGGCATCGGGGGTAATCATAAAGTAGTTCCTGGGGTTGTCAGCGGAGCTTCCTGGGTGAGAATGACCCCGGACAGTAGGGGCTGGTGGGTGTTTGCAGGGGGCGTGGTTTGCAAAGCAGAGAACAAGTATAGGGTGGGAATGCAGCTAAGGAGTGGGGACCCCCGCCCCTGGGAGTGTGAGCCAGGGAGCATTGCAGTCAGGAAGATGCCTCTGGCTGCAGTGGGGAGGGTGATCAGGTAGCCTTTAGAGGCCAGAGTGGAACAAGTGAGTGCCTGAGGTCCAGTGCTCCCTACCCCTAACTGTACACCTCCACATTCCACGCCCCCCCACACACACACACCCTCAGCAATGATTGTGCCCTCTCTCTGCAACTCCAGGTCACTGATATTGTTAGTGTCCATAGTGCGAGGGCCACACAGAAGTCCTCTCTGGAAAGCCTGGGGTCCCTAGCTCCCTGCGGGGCACAGTAGCCACATACATGTTTTACCCAAACCCGGACACTTTTGACAGCAGAATATTACTCAGGGTCAAGGTAATTGACAGCAGCACAGCAATCTCATCCAACCACAAACCTAGGCTGACCTGGACAAACCATACCACATAGTCACATACCAGGGACCTTCTGTGAACTCTGCTCCCCTGCTACCCTCTCCAACTACACACCCCACAGTGTTCTTACAAGCATGGCTGACTCCTCTGCTGGGCTGGTACTCTCAGGAGAGACAGCAGACCCAGCTTGAGGGTACTGGGATGTCCCCTAGCCTGACCCAGGGCAGGACCTAGAGAGGTTCTCAGAGGTCATCTACTGGGTAGGTGGGTACAGGGAAGTGAGTGGTTGAGTATTATCAACAGACCTAGGCACTTGGCCATCCCCAGCCACAGGTCAGGGGAGCCTACACTGACTCCCTCCCCCATGACCTCACCGCAGTCCTGCCTGGCCCATCTCCTTGTCACCCCATCATACACCAATCGCTCTAGGGACATTCCATGATCTCTTCAAAATGTTATCATATGCCCTGCACTTAAACTTGTCATGGGAGATTTAAGGCCCCAGACAAGTCTAATGACATCATTAATTTGCCTCTCCCCCAGCCCTGGCCCAAACCCAGGCCCCATCCTTGGCGTGGAGCCAAGGCCCATCAGCATGAGACACACAGTGAGTGCTAGCCAGTGGCTAGGAAGCCTAGGGGAAGCTGAATGTCCAGCCCCACTTCTTCATGGTTTGGAAATTTTACTCTTTTTCTTGTCCTTGTAAATAGCTTCAGTCCCCGGGGGAATCTTTCGGGTGCGCCTTGTGGGCAGTAAGCATACAGGAAGGAAGGGCACGTGCCCACGGGTCCCATAATCCATGGAAGAAGGAGCAGAGTCAGACCTCTGTCTTTACATCTCTCTGGTGATTCTAATGACCATCTGTCATCTCTGGAGGCCACCCTTCTCTAGTAACCTGTGACATCACATGGGAAGGTGACAATGCACAATGAGGTATATAGCTCAGTATTTCCACAGTGCCTTACCGTGCTAGCAAAGCTGGCCTCGTTGAACCCATGCAATAAGCCATGCATGTCGCCCTGTTGCCAATGAGGAATGTGAGACTCAGAGAGACCATAACCCAGTGAGCACCAGGCAATGAAAGAGCTTGGCAACCCAAGCTCTGCCCTGACTGTGGGACTGCAGAACCTGTGCTCATCACCACTCTTCCTCAACTGCCGCTCATCCCGCTCGTCTGGCCGCTTGCTCACTGACTAAACACTTACGTGTAGTAAAGCCTTGCCTCCTGTCCTTTCCCATACCCCGTAAATGGGGAGAGGCCTTTGAGAGGCGTGTTTCCAGAAACAGCCCTTCTAGTCATGGCCTCTCTGTTCTCCACCCTGACTCCAGAGTCTCTGGCGTCTCCTGTAACTGCGTCAAGTCAAGTGTGACCTATTTCGTCAGGGCTGCCAGTCAACCCTTCCAGCGTGGAGGAGGGTAAGCACACAGGTTCCTTCATTTGTCTATCTGCCAAACAAGCAGTCTCTGGGTGCCAGCTCTGTACCGGCCTAGGCACGAGCAGGGCTGCTATGTACATTGTACACATTGTGCACTGCTCACCTTGAGACAATCACATCATTTCCATCTTCATCTCAGAACAGTGAGTCTGGCCTCTTGGACAAAGGAGCCGTATGGTGCGGGTGCTCTTACCACCCATTTCACCCACTGGTCCTTGGCCAGCATACCAGAGGCAGATTCAGTCTCTGTTGACTCCCCGATCTTCCCCAGAAAGGATGTTGACAACTCAGCAGTGGCTGTAAAGAAGCCATGTGACTGGGCTAATAATTGGCTCTTCTGAAGGACTAAGATCTCTAGGAAGTTGGTATCTTCAAACGCAGTCTCCCCTCATCTTTCAGTCAGGACTGGTATTTTGTGCTTTGTGCTTGGGTAGAAGGCAATGAGAAATGGAAGATGATCTATGAGCAAGAGCTTGGAGGATGTTCTGGCAAGGGTGGATTAAGAGGAAAGACAATGTGTTTGGATTCATGGCCTTAGTTTCCGAAGCAGCCTCCATGCATATGTTGGAGGAGATGGGACTAGACTGCCCGGACCTACCATCCAGGCCAGACAGAGGAAATGATAAGAACACAGCAATCCAAAAGGGGTAGTGCAATCATATATTCAAGGTTTGATCCCCGATAGGCATCTTCCTTGTACCAGGCCCTGGGGACTTGAAATGGCATAACTTCATCCTTGAACTCAGGGATCCCTCTGCCTAGATCAAAAGCACATCAGCAAAGCTGTTGCCAGGCCTCAGGTTGGATGTGGAGAAGAATGAGGATAAAGGACCCAGAACTGTAAGGATGGACAATCCCTAGATAGCTTATCCCACAAGCATCAGGCTGGAAAGATCTGAGATCCTGGAATAGTTTTCAAGAATAGACAAAGGTCTGAAGCCAGATAGGCAGACAGCAGCTCAGACATGGGAAAAGCCAAAAGTACTGTCCTGCTCATCTCTGTAGAGCAGAGGGCAGAGTGGAGCCCAGCAGTGCCCATCATCTCATTTAGTCCCTCCCGGCACATGAGCCCTTCCTACAGATGAGAGCCAGGGCTCAGCTTTTACAAGTGGAGTAGCTTGTTCAGTATACCTAGCATCAGATTTGAACCCAAAGCTCAAGTCTCCCTAACCCCTAAGCTCTCTGGCCTTCTTGCCATACCTGTTATCTAGACCCCCTTGCTGAACTGGGTTCCTTGCCCAGGTCATGCTGGGCTCAGAGTTGAAGAAAGAACATAAGGAACTCAGCATGGCCCCAACCTCCTGGGCCCCAGCCTCTAGAGAAATACCAGGCAGGCCTGTGTGGGAGTCTTACCATCAGGGCACACAGCTGGGCTGTGATTGCGCTAGCTGTGACTGCACATGTCTCAGGATCCTTCCCTTTCGGGCTTGCTTCACAAGCAAAACCAGAACAATGCTCATCTTTGAGGGTTTGAGGGTTGATGAAACAGGAAACACAGAGTCTGCTGACCTCAGAAAGGTAAGATGCCAGGCCTGCCGGCACTATGCCAGGCCTATTGGACATGTGCCCTGCTCCATCAAGACCTAAGATGGCGTCTGTCTTACCGTTGCAGCTACCCAATTTCATCAACACCACCCTGCCGCCCCATGAGCAGGTGACAGCCCAGGAGATTGACAGCTACTTCCGCCAGGAGCTCATCTACAAGAGGAATGAGCGTATGGGGAAGCGAGTCATGGCGCTGCTGCGGGAGAATCAGGACAAGATCTGCTTCTTTGCCTTCGGAGCAGGTTTGGCCCCAACCTCTACTTGTCAAGGGAAGAGCTGAGGCCCAGAAGAGGGCAGGAAAGCCACGTGGTACCCAGGAGCAGAGCTAGGACCTAGCACTTCCCCAGCTTCTGACCAAGGATTCTCTCATAGCATCTTCCTTGGCAAGGGAAGCAGCCCCTGCCCTGTCCATGGTAACTCTTACAGCCCCTCCAAGTGCCAGGTGGACTTATGAGAGCCCAAAACAATGCTCCAGGGCCCAACCCAGCCTGGACCCACCCAACTTAGAACCAGGGCTAATCATAATGGCCCTGTGACCTCAAGGGTGAAGGAGATGGGCTTTGACAGCCCACAGTTCTGATTCCAACTTCAACTGGGCCATGTGGCATGTCACCCTAGCTGGTACTTTCCCAAGGCTCCAATTTTCTCTTCTGTTAAAGGGAAGGAGAACAATAACCATTTGATAAGTATCTATGTTGTAGAATAGTTGTAAGGATGTGTGACATTTAAATAACCTGCCATATAGTAGGGATCCAGAATGGCAGCTACAATCATCATCATCACCATTAAAATGAACTTAATTATCACTATGGCAACACAGGGCACATGCTAAATGTTTCTGGGGATCTTTCTTCTCCTGCAAAGGGAACTAAAGATGTCCATACATGACTCCTTGGGGTCCCTAGTCCTTCTCTGCTCCTCCTCACCCTTTCTGCCTTTCTCTGTGGCTGTCTCTACAATGGCTGCATTGGGGCTGGGATATTGGATTTGAGTTCTTTGTAAGTCAGCTTTTGCTCAGTGATTTACAATAACCATTTGCTTCTTGCCACTTGAATTTGGTGAATCCATCTGTGTTTTATGAGAATTAAGAGATAGCTTATAGCTTGGTGTGATGATGTACACCCATAATCCAAGCACTTCGGAGAGAGAGGCAGGCAGATCTCTGAGGCCAGCCTGGTCTATTTAGATAGTTCAAGGCCAGCCAGAGCTATGTAGTGAGACCCTGTCTCAAACAAAGAAGATGGCAGCTTATAGATATGTTCAACAATCTGCTGCTCTGCCCTCTCTTTCCATGGCCTTTATCTTCCAGACCAAGAAGTCAGTCCAGTCCACACAGACCGCTCTGGACATCCTGACTTGGTAATGGGGCTGTCTACTGTCTATCTCTTTGTCTCCCCTATCCCCATTCAGCTCCAAGTATGTCAAGGGCAAGAGCCAGGGATATATTTATCCAGGCTGTTCTTCCCCCTTCTGAACCTCCATTGTAGAGAGGCCGGTGGGAGGAGCTCAGTCGTGGATACAGGCCCTTTGAAGACAGCTCATTAAGGCCACAGAAGCGTCACAGAAAGAGCTCAGGATTCACAGGGATTCTGCTATGGCCCACTGTGGCCTCCAGCAAGGCTTCTCCCTTCTTACAACCTCAGTTTACTCACTTAGACATTGGGGGGGGGGCGTTGCTGGCTTTGGCTTGAACTGTCTTGGATTACAGGCTGTCTAGGATTCTGGCACAGGTGTAGGAGACAGTTGGGGGTCTCACAGGGGATCTAGAAGGGCCTCCTAGAGGACCCTACAGGAACAAAACCTAGACTAATACATGGAGATGAAGGACTGCTCTCCCTCTTGCAGGATATATGCATGGGGCCTGGTGTGAGCCGGGTAGCTGTGAGGACCTGTCCAAGGAAGTGGTCCCCACCCCCCAGCACCTCTCCTCTCACTTACCACACAGCTGCCTCTGGGCAGTGGTTCTGTACTTCATGGCCTTAGCTGACTGCAAAAGGGCAGCCCCTGGGGTCACCTAGTCTCTGGTTCCTCAGACTTTCAGGAACTTCCAGAGAGCACAGTCACTTAGGGAGGCCAGTGAGAGAGCAGGATGCTCCTCCAGAATGGGCCCAGGATGCAGGTCTAAGGTTACCCAGGGCCTAATAGTCTTTTAGCACCAGCTCTCTCCTGTAGCTGAGGAAGCTGAGAGCCTGAAGAAGCAAAACACAGACCTGCTTGTGATGTCCCAAGCCCACAGGGCACAATGATACACTCAGGCACCTTTGCAAATTAAAGCATCCTGCAAACAGCTGGTGGAGACAGAAGCAGAGAGGGATCTCAAAGTCCTCACTTGGCAACAACACTGAAAACTGGTAACTGCGTTTAGCCCCACATCCATCCACATTGCTTTTATATGGGAAATCGTTTGGCATAATAAAAGAAACGAGGGAAGAGGTGCTGCCAAGTTCAAGGCAACTTTTGTGGCCCTTTTAAAGCCTCATTACCTAAGTGAGATGGCTGAGGCTGCCAGTATAGAAGCGGGTAGGAAAGGAGGACTGGAGCAAGGGGAGAGAGTTGGTCTCCAGACAGAAGAGGGCACCTCCTCACCTAAAGTGTGTATGAGCAGGTAGCTGATGGCTTCTGGCCAGGTCTGCTCTTTCTGCTAGAAGGTAAAGTTGAGAAGAAGAGCAAAAAAAAAAAAAAAAGACTCTTGGTTTGAAGAGGGGAAAGCATTAGACATGAATACAAGAACGGCTGATCACAAACTTAACCAGGACAGGAAGTAAGAGTAGATTTAACTCGGGCCATTTGTGGTTGATTGCTACTGGATGCCTAGAGTGTGGTGCTGTAAAGAGCACATCAGGGCCCAGCAAAGAAGAGCTTTGACTGATCCATAATATCTGCTGAGGATCAGGATTCCAGCAGGCGCCTGCCAGGTACTTGCTCTCTCTGCTCTCTCTGCTGACAATGAAGGCCCATAACCCCATGGGGTTGGCAACACCCAACAGCTAGGATTTAAAGATGGACACTGTATCCAGATGCCTCCTGATTTTACCTGCACACTCCCTGCTCTGTGACCACCCTGTGCATGTGAACTATACCAAGACAGGGTCCACAATCTCAAAATTACTAACACCTGGCAGATTTTGTACAAAGATATGGTGAACTAAATCATATAGAATTGAGTATATTCCATTCAGTCCCAGGGCATCTCGTGAGTGAGAGGGGGCTTACTAGGCACTAGGAGGAAATGGTTATCTTATCCTTCATTCTAGAGAAATAGATTTTCTCGGGATGTTTATTTGTTCAGCCATTCAAGAAACTTGTAGCATCTTTTTTCAATAATAAAATGTGTGATTCAGAACTGAAGGAGCTGAGTTGAAAGCATGAGTCACCAGCAGTCTGAGTGTGGGGCAGGAAGACAGGTAGCCTTTAGGGCCCCTTCATTCCCAACTCCAACAATTGGAAGTTATCAGTTTCTGTGGCCCTCGCACACTACAGTATGAATACAATCTGAACTTCTGACACCCCACATCCTTGGACCCCAGCATTCTGTTGCTCTAATTGCCTGGTTGCAATATCCTGGCTCTCTAGGCTCATAACATTCCAGCATGGTTTTTGTTTCAATCGCTCTTGAGACTTGGGAGCAGTACAGAACCTTGCAGAACCTGAACATGCCTTCTAGGGCAGCCACCAACTGCCCCACAGGAAGCAAAATCCAGACAGAAAGAAGGCAGGCAGGGTCAGAGACAGGAATCTGTTGCTCTGAGTGTTGGGACATCCAGGACACTCAGCCTTCAAGCTGCTGAAGCTCATTCAGAACCACACTCATGGGCCTGAGGCAAGAACACATTAGTGGTAAAGATTTATACTTGATAGAAAAGAAAGCTATTAGCCCACCATACTGAGCCATGAGCACACTTTAGCTAAAGGCAACTCTGTTGACTGAGATATAGCTCAAAGATAAAGCATTTGCCTAGCGTTAATCCAGCACCACCAAAAATAAATTAATGAATGAATTAAGCAGCTACTTCCTGTAGAAGTTTGACAGTCCACTCATACTCAGGGCTTTCTGGAAGGACAAGATACTCCTTCAGTTCCATTTGGCAGACTGATAAGTAGAGGTACACACAGGAAGCAAGAGAGCCTCAGAGTTATAGTGAGGTTATGGTGATGACTCTTCCTTGTGGCTAAGCTCCCCAAGGCATCATCCAGCTGCTTGAGCCCTCTCTCTCTCAAGCTCTCACAGTGCCCTGGAACTTCATCCTCACACTCTACTCACACAGCACACTGTCATCTCTTAGTCCAAGTTGACCCCTGGAACAGAAGATGCTCATTCTTATCTATTGAATGAATAATTGGATGAATGAATGAATGAATGAATGAATAAATGAATAGATGGATGGATGAGATGACCCTGAGGTATATAAGTAGAAGTGTCATTCACTTCTATGTTACCCCAAGCAGAAGTTGATCCAGAATCTAAGTCTTCTGTCTCCATGGTTGGAATTAGGGGCTCTGGCAACACTGTACCCACCTTTTGGAAGGTGAGATTCCAGCAACAAACAAAAGGCCTGAGAACTCACTAGAAAGAGAGTCCTAGGTCTGGTTGAGCAAACCACACAGGCTGAGGCAAGAAGCAGAGAGAGGCTTAATGCTAAGTGGGATTTCTGGGGTGTGGGAGGAGGAGGAGGCAGCAAATGGTAAGAAGGAGAATCAGTGAGAAAAGTCCACAACAAGAGTGAAGTCCAGGCCATGAGGATGGGAAAGGAAAACAGCTTGGTGTCATGGAAACAGCTTGCCTTCTGAGATATTCCTATAGTCTTCTCAGAGTCTTTCCCACTCCATCTGCACAGCAAAGGACCCTCAAGAGGCGAGCTGTTAGGCTGCTTGCATCCCACATCCCATGCTTGTTGACAGAGGCTGACTCAGAGAAGGTTTCCTGGAGAAGGTAGGAGCTAGCTGAAATGTCCCTTATGCAAGCCCAGAGGCCCTCCAGCTTCTCACACCAACCCCCTAGTCCTCAAGACAAGATCCATCCTTCCCTGCACTTGCACTTGCTTCTCCACTCACGACCTGCAGAAGAGAAGCCCCTCAGAGCTTTCTGATGGCCCAGGAATAGTCAGAGTCTAGAATAGAGGCTGCCCTCCCAATAGCTTCTTCCCCACCCCCACAACATCTATGCCTGCCCCACTCCCCAAGCACAAACACAAGGCTAAACCTTCCAGAAGTGCTTCAGAATCCCCAACAGTGCTAAAAGAGT